ATTGCTTTGAAATTTTCACACAACGTTCCATTCGCATCCGGACAGGTTTTTTTTTATATACATACTATATGGAAGTCACGTCTGTAACGGTAAAAAAAACATGTTTTTTCAGAAAAACTGTGTTTTTCAAAACTGTGTTTTTTCAGAAAAACTGTGTTTTTTCAGAAAAACTTAGTTTTTCATGTGTTTTTCATCTGAGGGAAATCTTCGAAACCTCCTTACCGATTGCTTTGAAATTTTGACAGAACGTTGCATTCGAATAGGCGCGTTTTTTTGTATATCTACTTTATACATGCCTCACCTGTGACAGAAAAAAACATGCTTTTTAAAAAAAAAAAAACAGCGTCATCTGATGGACATAAGAGCAATACACGCTGTAATCTCCGAAAGTTCTTCACCGATTGCTCTGAAATGTTTACACAACGTTGCATTCGAACAAGCACGTCTTCTTATATGCCAACTATATAGATGCCACACCCTGTGACAGGTAAAACCATGTGTTTTTTGAAAAACAGCCCCATCTGTTGCGCATAATAGCAACATGTACTCTATACTAAATATGTCACGAATTCCATTTCAATGTTTCCGATTGCATTGATTACCATACCGTTCATTCGCAAGTATAAGCATAGATGCCAAACCTGTGACAGGTATAACTATGCTTTTCTTGAAAAACAGCCCCATCTGTTGCATGTAAGAGCAACACACATGCTATACTAAATGTTACAATTCCATTTCAATGTTTCTGATTACACTGATAAATTGAATTTTCATAAATTTTCATTTATTTTCATTTTGATTTAATTATTTTGTGTGAATTGCGTTGGAATTGAGCTGTGTTGTTACCATTTCATTTCTTAGGTATAGTTTATTTTTCAATTTTTCATATTTTCATTTAAATTTTTAACTGTTTTTCTTATAATTCAGTGATGGGAACATCAGATCACTTGATGTTCCCAATTTTCTGATAGAAACAGACCATTTGGGAAGGCATCAGACGAGGGAGTGGGGAATGGTAGGAATGACGAGGGGACGAAAGTGGGAGATGGTGTGGAGGACGAGGGGACAGGGAAGGTTGCTGTGGCTCAGCAACGCACATGCGGGTACCGCACATGAGTGGACGGGTATATATATATATATATATATATATATATATATATATATATATATATATATATATATATATATATATATATATATATATATATATATATATGTCGTACCTAGTAGCCAGAACGCACTTCTCAGCCTACTATGCAAGGCCCGATTTGCCTAATAAGCCAAGTTTTCATGAATTATTTGTTTTTCGACTACCTAACCTACCTAACCTAACCTAACCTAACTTTTTCGGCTACCTAACCAAACCTAACCTATGACAATAGGTTAGGTTAGGTTAGGTAGGGTTGGTTAGGTTCGGTCATATATCTACGTTAATTTTAACTCCAATTAAAAAAAAATGACCTCATACATAATGAAATGGGTAGCTTTATCATTTCATAAGAAAAAAATTAGAAAAAATATATTAATTCAGGAAAACTTGGCTTATTAGGCAAATCGGGCCTTGAATAGTAGGCCAAAAAGTGAGTTCTGGCTACTAGGTACGACATATATATATATATATATATATATATATATATATATATATATATATATATATATATATATAGAAACTGTGATATATATATATATATATATATATATATATATATATATATATATATATATATATATATATATATATATATATATATATATATATATATATATATATATATATATATATATATATATATATATATATATATATATATATATATATATATCACAGTTTCCGGACTCCACCTGCCAAAGATCATTGGGGAATATAAACCTGGATATGCGTATGGAAATGTCAAGACACACAAGCCTGGAAACCCACTTCGGCCAATCATTAGCCAGATACCCACATCCACGTACAGACTGGCGAAGCGACTCAACGGCCTGCTGATTCCTTATGTTCCCTGCGCCTTCAGCCTGAAGTCTCCAAAGGAATTTGTTGACTTACTGCGGGGCACACGGGCCACAGGGATAAGAGCCTCGTTGGACGTAGAATCGCTGTTTACCAACGTACCTGTGGACGAGACAATCGGGATGATAGCAGACAGAGTGTATCGTGATCCAGCCTGTACTCCTCTTGACATACCAGAAAATATTCTGAGGAAACTACTCCAAGCTTGTATTAAAGAGGCACCCTTCTTGAGCCCGGATGGGCACATGTATAAGCAAGTAGATGGGGTTGCCATGGGTTCTCCCCTAGGTGTCCTGTTTGCAAACTTCTACATGGGTACCATCGAGCGAAAAGTCTTAGTCGACATGAACTTGAAACCGGCCATATACTGCAGGTATGTTGACGACATTTTTACACAGGTACCTGATGTCAGACATCTGCAGGAGTTGAAAGAGGCATTTGAGCGGAGTTCCGTGCTGCGTTTCACTTACGAGATGGAAAAGGATGGGAAGCTGCCCTTTCTAGATGTAACAGTCTTGGAAAAGAGAGGAGGTTTCCACACTGCAGTCTACACTAAGGAAACGAACATAGGAATGTGCCTAAATGCCAACAGCGACTGCCCAGACAGGTACAAGAGGAGTGTTGTTAACGCATATGTCGACCGTGCTCTCAGCCACAGCTCAGAATGGAAGCAAGTCGACGAAGAACTCTGTAGGGTAAGGCAGGTCCTAGTCAACAACGGCTTCTCCAATGGTTTCGTCGAAGACATCATAAGAAGGAAAGTGAAACGCCATGCAACCTCTGAAGAGACAACTAACACAACACCTATACCCCCTATTAGACTATTTTACAGGAACTTCTTTTCCACAGCTCATAAAACGGAGGAAAGGGTCCTGAAAGATATTGTTAATAGAAACGTTGTCCCTATAGACAAAAATCAGAGGATACAACTGACGATTTACTATAAAACCAGAAAAACGGCCAGCCTACTCATGAGAAACTCTCCAGACACAAAACAGAACGCTTTAAAAGAGACTAACGTCGTCTATGCCTTCAAATGCCCTCTTGGGGACTGTAAGCTCCAAAAAACCCAGTATATAGGCAAGACAACAACATCTCTTTCTAGGCGTTTAACGATGCATAAGCAACCGGGCTCTATTAAGGAACATATAATCTCTTCCCACAACCAAACCATCGCCAGAGAAATCCTAGTAAACAACACGGAAATCATCGATAGATACAGCGACAGCAGGCGGCTTGAAGTTTGCGAGGCACTACACATCAAGAAGTCAACACCAGCAATCAACAGCCAATTAATGCACAATTATATTCTACCCACCTCAAGACTCCGCTCCAATATAGAAGCATCAAGAAATATGGACCAATAGGCTTTCTACAAACACTTCTATTCAATACCCATTGTTTCGTGTTCTGTCTTGTGTTGATGAAATTAATACCCTATTAATGCCACCTCTTGTTCTGTCTTGTGTTGATGAAATTAATACCCTATTAATGCCACCTCACCCCATCCACCTCACTAAAATGTAGATATAAAATCGGAGATGCGTAAGTTCTATTCAGTTGTGTATTTGTAAACTAAAGTCTTTGAAAATGTAATAAGTTTTACGAAACGCGCTCGTGTCGCGTCAGACTAGAAATAAAAATGAATTTTGGAGAATTGATTTTTTATTTACCTCCAACAGTGAAAAGAAATGTACGAAAGATTGAGAAAAATCGGGTTAGAATTATTAATCTTACTTTTTCGGTCATATTTAATAATATATGTCTACAGGAAAGACTGCTACCAAATATACTAATATATATATATATATATATATATATATATATATATATATATATATATATATATATATATATATATATATATATATATATATATATATATATATATATATATATATATATATATATATATATATATATACACAAACTGCCTATCCTTGACAAAATGAACTGAGAACTATATTAGAAGGTAGTCACTCTCACATTACTTCTTGAGCTGTTTAATATCAATAACATCACTGCAAAGGCGAGTAGTTCATTCTCACATCACTGCAGAGGCGGGTTCGTCATTGTCACATCACTGCAGAGGCGGGTTCGTCACTCTCACATCACTACTGAGGCGGGTAGGTCACTCACATCACTACTGAGGCGAGTAGGTCACTCTCTCATCACTCCTGGGGCGGGTAGGTCACTCTCACATCACTACCGAGGCGAGTAGGTCACTCTCACATCACTAGTGAGGCGGATAGGTCACTCTCAAATCATTACTGAGGCGGGTAGGTCACTCTCTCATCACTACTGAGGCGGGTAGGTCACTCTCACATCACTACTTAGGCGAGTAGGTCACTCCCACGTCACTAGTGAGGCGGATAGGTCACTCTCACATTACTACTGCGTCGGGTAGGTCACTCTCACATCACTACTGAGGCGGGTAGGTCACTCTCACATTACTACTGAGACGGGTAGGTCACTCTCCCCTCTCACATCACTTCTGAGGCGGGTAGGTCACTCTCACATCACTCCTGAGGCGGGTAGGTCACTCTCACATCACTACTGAGGCGGATAGGTCACTCTCACATTACTACTGCGGCGGGCAGGTCACTCTCACATCACTACTGAGGCAGGTAGGTCACTCTCACATCACTACTGAGGCGGGTAGGTCACTCTCACATCACTACTGAGGCGGGTAGGTCACTCTCACATCACTACTGAGGCGGGTAGGTCACTCTCACATCACTACTGAGGCGGGTAGGTCACTCTCACATCACTACTGAGGCGGGTAGGTCACTCTCACATCACTACTGAGGCAGGTAGGCCACTCTCACATCACCACTACTGAGGCGGGTAGGTCACTCTCACATCACCACTACTGAGGCGGGTAGGTCACTCTCACATCACCACTACTGAGGCGGCGTGTTCACTCTCACATCACCACTACTGAGACGGGTAGCTCACTCTCACATAACGTCTACCATGTTGTCGTCAACAGGTGCGGCAGGTGTCATGGTGCGTGACGGTGGTGGTGGTGAGCGACGACCTCGCCTTCCTCGCCACCTTCGCTCAGTGGTCCCTCAAGGACCGCCTCCTGGTGTGGTCGACGAGGCTCCTGGTCGTCACCCGTCTCCCCCTCCACCTGCTACAGGTCCTCCATGGGCTGCTCTCCATGACTAACTCCATTCTTCTGATTATTCATGAATCACTAATCAACTTCAGGTACTGCTGCTTTTCACATACTCTTTATTATACTCTGTGAGAGATATGGGTTAGCATGATTCGTTTTGTTTAGGGGAAGAAAGATTTTCTACTTGTTGCTAATATTATCAAATATCAAAACAAATATTTTATGAATACTTTCTGAACCTCTCAATAGATGTGTTATGTACATCCAGCTGCCGTACAGTCCTAGGGAAGCCCAGGCGCTGAAGGTGGCCTCCTGGACGTCCCACCGAGGCCTCGCCCTCACCTCCAGCCTCCCGCTCTTCCCTGACAAGTTCTCCAGGTGAGAATGAAGAAACAAATGCAAGGAATAACTAATGCAAATACTCGCGAGTTCAATTTAGTTAAATTATGAGACAGATAATTAATTGAGTGACTAAATACTTTATTAAGTATTTAAAATGTCGGAAGATTATTCAGATGAATGTAAATTGTGTTTTATGTTTGGCTGTTAGAAAAAATATTCAAGATATATGATAAAAGTAAATATTTCAGTTAATAGCGAAACTTATTTATATTCATATATGTATACTGTTTGCAGGCTTACCCTACTGAAGGAAGCATTGTTATCTACTCTCTCTCTATAGGTTACTTCAGCGGCCGACTCTGAAGTTGGCAACAGAGATAAACTCCCTTAACATCATGGTTACCAGAGAGAAAACCAAGATTCGCCCGGAAGAGAGACTGGAGTTTGTTGGACCCTTGCCGGACCTGGTGTCATACCTCGCCACGGCTCTCAACTTCTCGTAAATCACAGTTTGTAGTACTCATGGTAGACTTCGGGTGTCTGATTCACCAAACTTTTCCTCAGCAACCAAAGAATTATTATAATTCTAGTTCTGACACTCTATGCTAATCACCATTTTCCAATGAAATGTCAAACTCTACGGCAGGAAAATATTAGAGATTAAATGGTGGATTTCAATGAGCAAAAGTCTTTGACAAGAAATTTTTTACCTCTTTATGTATGACAATCTGTAGGGAATCTTGCATTAAGCACTTTTATCACTTAAAGAAAAGAGGGATACATAAAGTATAGAGATAAAATTTACATTATGTTTATTTACTTAGCTATAAAAAAGGAGATTCGCATTACGTTAATTAACAACCAATGAAAGATTAACTGTCTCACAGATATACAGACAGACCAAATTAATAACTTAATGTTTAAAAATAAACTAGACCTGTTCGCACTGCATGGTTTCCTACACTTGGATAATATCCACACCTAGTACTGTTGGTCTGGTATTACTATAAGAGTTCCACGAAAAACAATGTTTCTGAATCCAGGTTTCAAGGAAAAAAATTATGTACTATAATTTGTGGATGTGTACTCTATCTTTGTAGCTAATTTTGGTACATGGATGTTAAATATCACTCTGTTTCACTAGTATGATAGATTACTACTTGAATGTTTTCTTTAGCACTTTGTGCACAAGACTGTATGTATGCACTACCTTCTGCAGCTTAGTGATGACAGAAATATCAATGCCAAGATGACATTACTCCGCATATGAAGGTTTCTCAATTACATGACCACAGACAGAAGTTTCTCAGCTTAAACTTATAAACTGTTACCCAATTAATTTACTTCTACAGCCTCAGGCAGCCAGTCCAACATATTGCTTAATAAATGCTATTTTACTGCCTGTAGTCTAAGTGTCGATCATAAAAGGGTAGAAGAATTATACCATTATCAACAATTAAAATATTCATTAACTGAGAGGGAAAAATTACGAGTAAGGGATGATTACAGTTACGTAAAAAAATTCCAGAAAGATCCCAGGTACAACATACAGGAACTAATTGGTATGATACACAGCATAGATGCTGTGTATCATACCAATTGTTTAGCCTAGGTAACATTAATATATTAGGTTGTGGCATTTTAGAACAATAAAACTAATAAAAAAAATATTGATAAATCCTTCGCACTGTATATGATCACTAGAAGGTACTTCTTTATCTACGATGCAATAGAGTTAGCATCATTTTTAAGTAATTTAATGTTTAGACATTGCAGTGGCAAACATAATGCAAGTTGCTGTATTACGAGTGGTATTCTATCAGTAAACCAGTTTGTTTTTCTTGGCTCTAGGTACATGTACTTGAGACCTCCTGATGGATCTTGGGGCATTAAGCGTGTCGATGGTACCTGGTCAGGCATGATGGGTATGGTGATCAGGCAGGTAAGTTAAGTCCACTAGGAAGCATTTAACATACAGGGGCAGAAATCAAACTTTTTGTGCTATAATATGCTAAATCACAATATTTTTCTCATAAAATTCCAAACGACGACATTTCGGTCCGTCGTGGACCATTATTAAGTTGTGTGGTCCATCCTGGACCATTATCGAGACCACACGCACCACTTAATAATGGTCCCTGACGGACCGAATCGTCGTCGTTTCTCCATCTTCTGATGTGGGATTTGATCATCATACCTTCAGCGGCGTTAGACTCATCGTTTCCACTAGAGAAAAGTTACCATGAGTTAAATCATTCCTGTTACATCAGTCTGTTGTGGTGTTAGTGTGGCATCATGTCTCTTGGGCTTTAGAATCATCACATTCAGTTACCAAATAAAACATGTATTCTGCTATGATTTTCTTATTATTCTCCACGAGCGACTTCATCCGGTTTTATCATGTTCCTTATTTGCACAATGTAGTTGTTTTATTTCAAACTTGCAGGAAGTAGATGTAGCAGTTGGCCTCTTCGGTATTAGTGGAGTGCGCGCTGAGGTAGTGGACTTCATGGAACCAATTCTTATAGAATACATTAGGATGCTGGGAGCGCGCGGCCGGCCGGAGGTGGACCCCTGGGGCTTCCTGTTTCCTCTGGAGCCGGTGGTGTGGGCGGCCATCCTGGCGGCGCTGCTGGTGCTGCCTCTGACGGCCTTCCTCATGTCTTCATGCTTCTCACTCAGGACCGTCCATCAAAATAAGAACTTTCTGACAACATCCGCTTACCTCCGTATTTTGTTGAATCAGAGTAAGGAATTACATTACTATAAAACAAAATATTAGATATTGATTATGTTTTAGATAACATATTGCGAATTTTATTGTTATTGTAGTGTTTTTAGTGAGATTAATTAAATAAATAAGCAAGTTAGTAAAATTATCAAATACGAAATTGCCAACCTACAGGTCAGCGTAAATTACATTCGAACACTGAATGTGCATCAATACCTTTAAGTCTTTTGATAATTTTGTAGTAATGATACGAAGATTATTAATTATTAAAAATGTCTTCGATTTTTATAACTTTATAAGAATTGCATTTGGTTTATCAGGAGATAAAAAGAAACTTGGATAATACCTTATGATATGTCATCATTCGTTTTCAACGGTACAAGAATTTCATAACTCCCCCAATAATCTAGCCAACAAACGAAAGATATGAAAGATAAATGCTTTACCTGTTACAGTTGTCCAGAACCACACACTATTGAGTACATCAGTAGGTTGATGATGTAGCTGTGCTACTTAGATACAATGCTGTTCCTATGACATGTCGAGGTACTGGTACTGCGATGATGATACAATGTTCTTCTGATACATATGTGTGTATATCACGAAACTTAACATGATGAAAAATGTGACAGTGTCAGATCATGGAGGATGAATTGAAGCAGGAATTTCCTTAAGTACTTTCGCATTTAATAATACATCTTCAGAAGGGTTCTGAAGATTATATATTCTGATATATATGTATCCCGAGGACTATATGCAACTGAAAACTCACCCTAGAAGTGACTCAAACCCGTTGACAGGAACAACGCAACTGGTATGTACAGGACACCATAATCAACTCGACCATCCCAGCCAGACATAAGGAGGTGATAGTTGAAGCTATTTGAACCCCGCCCCCCCACTTGATTTGATAAAATACTATGCCTAAGATTACCATCTGAGTGCCGCCGGGGGGGGGGGTTCAAATAGCTTCGGCTATCACCTCCTTATGTCCGGTCGTGATGGTCGAGTGGATTAACGTGTCCTGTACATACCAGTTGCATTGCTCCTGGCAGTATGGGTTCAAGTCACTTCTGGGGTGTGAGTTTTCTGTTATATATATATATATATATATATATATATATATATATATATATATATATATATATATATATATATATATATATTGTGACGGTAACGCGTTGGTGTTCGGCTGTTTAAGGCTAGGGGTATGGCCTCGTCACATAGTTATAAAAAAAAAAATAGAAAAAACTGGAACTTCGTCTGTGGTAAGGTAAGGAGAAGACACACAAAACACAAGTAAACTTTAACAATGAAATTTTAATTACGTTAAATAAATCAAAACATAAATAAAAGGGACAAACAAATTCTTATAATAAAATCAATCAATCAAAAGAATAAGAATAATTAAATGACACAATGAAAAGTTACGTTAAGACAAAATAACAAGAAGTGCAATACAAAAATAAATGTGAGGTGCTGGAATATTGGCTTTAAGCTACCACCTCTCTCAGTATACGCTAACGTCTAGCCGGGAGGAGTGGTAACTGCGAAAGCACAGAATATTCTGAGGTCTGAGGTCGTGGCGACCCCAGACATCAAGTAGTATGGGGGGGGGGCGAGTGCAGTTGCAGCCAGACCGGCGACCAATCAGCGGAGCCGGTAGTAAGACAGGTAGTTTGGCGGTTTGAGTCTGAGCAGGTGTCCCTGGCTGCATGCGTTTTGCTCTCTGGCAAACCTTGCTGGTGTTGTTGTCGTTGTTGGACATTTCTTCCATAGTAGTTTTATATAGTTTTAACGACGTAATTGTGGAGGGAAGAGCAGGCTCAATCTCTTGAAGGAGATTATCGTTACAACTCTCCCCCGAAGCCTGCGGTTCTGGAAGAAGTACGTCGTTATGTGGTGGAGTAATGGATGGAGTCGCTTCTACTTCATAAACTCTGGAGAGATCATGGGCTAAGATGTTGTCAGACTCTTGGTATAGCTTGTCTCCAGGTTGAATTTCTGCAGGTAGCAAGCCCATAGTAGAAGACGTTGAGATGAGAAGTGGGCGTGCTGCAGGAGGTGTAGGGTGGTGTGGTCCGAATTGATGGTGGACCGAGCACTTTTCAGGTGTGGAGTGAAGTGCTGAAGCTTCAGGATGAGGAAGAGTAGCTCCTTGCCAATTGTTCCGTAGTTCCTTGTAGCAGTAGTCGCTGACAGGTGTATTCTTCTCGCCTCGTTGCTGCATCACGACACCACCAACGTCGGTACCATTGGCGTCGACATGGAGGATGAAGGGCTTATCTGACGAGGTGAGAGTGGAATTAGAAGAGGGCAAAGGAGCACGATTATTATCCTGAAAGCATTTGGGAAGATCATTAAGGATTTCGGAATTAGAAAGCGCTGACTCCTTGTCAGTGCTTTCGGGAGGAGAAGCTGGGATGGTCTCACTGTGGATGTAGGGTTCTGTGAAGGTGGAATAGTTAATTAGGACAGTGGGAGGAGTACCATTATATTGCTTCAGGAGGTTGACGTGGCACAGCTGGGTCTTCCGCCGCTTATCTGGAGTCTCTATTACGTAGTTGTTATTATTCCTGCACTCTTTGACGCGGTAGGGTCCTGAAAACCTGTTTTGTAAAGGTGAACCTGGGATAGGGAAATATGCAAGGATGAAGTCTCCCGGCTTGAATTTTCTTACTTTGCTGGTCTGGTCGTAATGAGTCTTCATTCTCACCTGGGCTTTCAATAGATTATTATGGGCAAAACGGTGGACTCTCTCTAGAATGTGTTGAAGGTTTTGAAGAAACTGGGGCACATTCTGATGCTCACTGAAGGTGGCATCTCGGAGAGAGTCTTTGAAAGCCTTAAGGGGAGTACGGCACTTACGGCCGTAGAGCATCTCATAAGGAGATACTCCTAGGGACTCATTGGGGAGACTTCTGAAAATACACATTATAAGGTCAATCTGCTTATCCCAATCCTTCGAGGTTTCACTACAAAACTTTTTCAAGAGTGCTTTGATAGTCTGATGACTACGTTCAAGAGAACCCTGTGAAGCAGGATGATAGGGGCTGGACAATACCTGTTTGATGTTGAACTCCTCCAGTGTCCTTTTGAAGAGATCACTGGTGAAGTTGGTACCACAGTCGCTTTGAATCTCCCTGGGAAATCCGTATTGAGTGAAGATCTTCAATAGATGTTTGATAACCGTAGCAGCCGTGATGTTCTTCACTGGAACTGCTATGGGAAATCTGGTGGTAGGACACAGGATGGTTAGGATGTAGGCGTTACCTGAACTGGTCCGAGGTAAAGGACCAACACAGTCTATTATGAGTCTGTGGAAAGGTTCCGCAGGCACCTGTATGGGAATCAGTGGCGCTCTGGGAATGGAGATGTTCGGTTTGCCTGCCATCTGACATGTATGACACTGTTTTACGTACTGTTTGACGTTATTTACCATACCTGGCCAGTAGTAGTCTTGACGAATTCCATGGTAAGTCTTGTTGAAGCCGTAGTGGGAGAATGCTCCGTGGGCCAGGTGTAGAATAGTGGGCCGCAGGCTGGTGGGAATCACAAGTTGTTCGAAGTTTGCCCAATCGTCCTCCTCCTTCAGTTTACTGGGTCTATATCTGCGGTAGAGTAAGTCGTTCTCTAGGAAGAACCCAGGAATACTGTCGGGTTGAGTCTCAGCCTGGAAAAACAATGGTGTTAAAGTAAGATCTTCCCTCTGCAACTTACGGAACTCCAACTTGGTCAGATGCGGGGGGAGTTTCTGAGGGTCTTGAGGGACAGCGGTAGCAGTAGAATCAGCTGGCTGTGGACGTGCGGCTTGTGCACGGGTGGTCACGAGAACCGGAGGAGAAACTTCATCACTCTCTTGAACCTCTGCTGGAACATACTCTAGAATAGGGTTTATTGGCACAGAGTTACACACCTGGGGTTTGTCCATGACGATCAGGTTGGTCGGTTGCAGGTCTTCTGCCAAGTCGTTGCCTAGGAGAAGTTGCACTCCAGGCATGGGAAAAGGCTTTTCCCTGACGGCGACTTGGACTTCCCCGTTCACGTAGGGACAATCCAGGTGGACTCTGGCTAGAGGGTATGGAGTGGTAGCAGTGAGGTCAGTGATGAAGACAGTTTCTCCGGTGTAGGTGATGTTGGGCACAGCCGACTTCAAGATGATCGATTGTAGAGCCGCTGTGTCCCTCAAGATCTTCAATTTGAAACGTCCCTCCGGATTTGAACCGTTGGCAGAGACAGTTCCAGTATACAGGTGGTTACTGAAAAGAGAAAGATCATTAACATCAACACCAACATTCATCACAGGCTTACCGGACTTAGGAGGAGTTGGTTTGGGTCTTTGTTGGTCAGTGATTCCCTTGTATTGAGACTTACCACACTTGTCTATGGTATGTCCATAGAGTCTACAATACTTGCAGTACAGTTGTGAACCAGCTTGATCGGGGCTCACCTTCTCGTAACTGTACCACGACTTCTTACTGGAGGATGGTTCGGGTGTCAGCCGGTGGATGAGGCTGTAAGTGTCAGCCGACTTAGCACACTTCAGGTAGTCGGTTTCTTCTTTATCTGCTAAGTAGAGGCGGACAGGAGGCGGCACACGTCTCAAGAATTCTTCAACAAGCATCAGGTTGACGAGTTCTGTAAAAGTAGAGACATGTGCTGCTTCCAGCCATTTCATGAAATACCTCCGTTTCGTGTTAGCAAACTCAAGGAAGGTAGTGGTACTTGCCTTCAGGTGGTCACGGAATTTCCTTCTATAACTTTCGGTGGAAAGTAGGTAGGCGTCCAACACTGCTTGTTTCAGAGTGTGGTAGTCATTCTCAGACGCCAAAGTACTGAGTGTGACTGCAGCTCTACCTGTAAGATGGACTCTGAGAAGTGTGGCCTATTGGTCGACAGGCCAACTGAGTTGATTAGCAAGGGTTTCAAAGGTGGTGAAAAACACATCAACTTCTGCTTCTACAAAGGATGGCATTAACTTACTTGCATGTGATATATTAAAGCTGACGGGAAGATTGGCAGTAGCTTGCTGGCGTTGAGTGAAGTGTGAAGTTTCCAAGGCGATTTCGCGTTGACGACACTCTAGAGCCAGAGTCGCTTGTTGCTTGTCATGCTCGCGTTGCATTTCCAACTCGCGTTGTTTGGTTTCAAGCTGTACGCGTTCCCGCTCCTGGAGTGTTTCAAGCTGTACTCGTTCACGTTCACGGAGTAATGCGACCTCACGTTCGTGTTCTTCTCTCCTCAAAGCGGCCTCGCGTTCTTGTTCGTTTCTCCTCAAAGCTGCCTCGCGTTCTTGTTCGTCTCTCTTCAAGGCAGCTTCGCGTTCGCTGAGGGTGATTTCTC